GCCGCCAGAGAGCCTCCCCCCAGCAGGGCGGCGGCAGCGGCGACCCTCCAGCTGAGCGGGCGCCGCTGGGTCCGAGGGGGCCGCAGCCCGGCCAGCCGCCCCCTCAGCGGAGCGCGGGCGCCCGCCGCCAGCGCCGCTCTCCACGCCGCCATCTTCCCGGAAGCTTCCCTGGCGCCGCCGACATCGAACCGGCCCCTCCGCCGCCGACCCCGCGCGGGGCGCATGCGCGACGCCGCGCCTGAGGCCGCGGGGCTGCTCGCCGTTGCCCGCAAACCGGCGGGTCGGGGGCGGCTCTGTTCCGTGGGGGATTGGGCTGTTTGTCCTTTGCGAGAGCGCAGCGGGAGGGAAGCGACCCGCAAACCGGAGGGGACGGTCCTGGTGGAGAGGTAACGCAGGCAGAGGTGCGCAGGGGCTCACGGCGGTCACCGCTGCCTTCCCGTCGTGGAAACGCTCCCGGCACCGGGCCGGGCCGTCCCCTCAGGGACGAGGGGAGGTGGTAGGGCTCCCGCTTCTAGCTTTTGGCTGGAAACGGCTCCAGTGAGGGGCGGATCGGCGGGGAGAGGCCCTGCGGGGCCGGCCCGGGTCCCCGGGGGCTGTAGCTGCCAGGAAGGGGAGAGGGCCTGGCCCAGGACCGGGCTGGCCCGGCGGGGTCCCGGGGGAGAGGGAAGGTGGTGGCAGGGGTCAGACGTTTCCTTTGTGTCGGGGAAGGGACCACCTTGCCTGTGCGGTCGGGAGTGGAAAGCGCTGACGCTTGTAAGAGCCCTCCGGGCCCCAGGGTGTCCCTGGCAGAACTCAGCTTCAGGATGTTCACTGAGGTGAGTCTTCCAGAGCATTAAGCCACTTCACGAGTACATGAAGAGGAATGGGTCCTGAACTGGGTCTGAAGCCCTTGGGGAAGCCCAGTGTACAGAGGTCTGGTGAGCTTGAGCTGGCAGGGCTGGCCTGGTGCTATGTGCCGTGCGGTTGGGGTTTTCTAAGCGCTGGAGACGTTGCGTACGGATGTGTTGCTCTGCATATGTTCCAGATGAGAAACAACAAAAGCACAAATAACTTTAGAACATCCTTTTCAAAGGCAGAGTTTCTCATGAAATGCAGATGACAAGATGCTGGTTACAGACGCCGTCATGGCAGAGGTGATAACTGAAAAACATTAAACATTGACTTGACCAGCCGTAATCACTGGTGTCAAAACCAGCTATTCACTGTGAATGCTTCAAAGTGCTTTTTTGTCCACTACTGTAGTTTTAACAAAGGTCTCTAGGCCTAACACTCTAGCTTGAGTTAGTTGGTCACAAAAAATAGTTAGTTGGTCACAAACATTGGGCTATCTGGGAATTAATGGTACAGTCACATGAAATAAAGCAGAGAGGAAGCTAAATGTCATTTGTAGGTTGGCAGTGCCAGTGTCCATGTTTTCAGAGTAGTTCACCTAGTGGGCTCCATGTGAATATGGGAAAAGACAGGGGAAAGAACTGCTGCATACAGTTTCCCATTATTTTGGCCTTCAGTTCAAGGCCTTCAGAAAGTGCTCAGTCTGTTTTAGCAAAATGTATCTTTCACCTCTTTCTGAAACAGCCAGTACTATATTGTCAACATTACAAATGTTGTGATATAGGCTCTGAAACATGGAGATGGCTTTTTGCTCTCTATCCGCTGACAAATGGTGATCATCCATCAGTGTCACTAAAGTAATTTTAGTTCACTTTCCTTCTCTGACCTGAATTCAGTCATGAATTCAGTTTCATAGATGTTAATTTCAGTCATCTAACTAATGGCATCTCAGAATTTACCCAGTCTTCCATTAGCATGTGTTGTACACTAAGTGTCATTCTGTGAAGTGTTTGGGACATCTTCAGGAATGTGCCACCTGAGTCCTCAGCAGGACACAAACCCTTCAAAAACACCTTCTCTAGGGAACACAAATGGCTCCTCATTGCAAAATCACCCAAGAGTGCACCATGCAGGGTGAATGGTTTCCATCTCCACAGACTAATGTACATTGCAAAATCTTTTTCCTATCCCCAGAGACCTAGAAAGTAACTCATACAGGAAAATCCTTTCTAATCCCCAGATACTGTAAAACATTGCAGCAAAATCTCTCTATCGTCATACACAAACACACACTGCAAAATCCCAATTCTGCTGTACAGATATAAAACTTGCAGCAAATACTTGTCCCCTATTTCTATTTCCCTCTAGACAGACAAAATATTTTCCTCCCCAGTCTTACAGTTTGACACAGAATATTTGCACAAAAACATAAAAAGTACTTCCCTTTCTGTGCCAGCCAATAACAAGCGCTTCATGAATGCTGGCATCATCCCAGAAACATTGTAAAGGATGGCTGAGAGATTTGAATTCTAAATGCCAGATCCCTTGATGTTGAACACACAACCACAACACAGGTAAGCAGGTTTAGTTCAGCACTCTGCCGGGCATTTTCAGTTTTTCTTTGAGTCAGTACAAATAAGTAGGTCATTTTTCTTTCCTCAGATGACATTCCTGACTGGAACAGATACAACTGCAATGTGAATGGACAACTATTCTCATATGACTGCAAGCACGCAATGCTGATGGGGAAGTTAAGTGTCCTTAGCCACCCCTTCTCTCCCTGCAGTAAATTCGCCCTGTGTGTGCAGTGCCCAGGAGCACACAGCTGCTGCTGCTGCTGCGCTAACATGGCTCACACCTGGGTTGCAGTAACCAGGCTGGTATATTTGTGGGTGCTAGAGCATATGCCTAGGTAGCTAGAAAATCTCTTGCTATTAAGACATAGTCCTGTTTCACCTCATGCAGTGTCACTGTGGGTAGTTTATGACAGAAAGCAAAGATCACTGTAGTCTTATAGAAATGACACTGACAGTCAGGAGTTTCATCAGAAAAATTTTGCTACGTGGCGACAAATGTCATCAACTACTATGCCCCGTGGCACTAAAATGTTAGTTCAGAGGCTCCCTTTCCCATCCTGCACAGTTTGCTCTTTCTTGGCCCTGGTAAGCAGAAATCATTCCATGTAGCAAGCTGACCTATCTGCTTTTTTAACAACTACTTTCTACATGTTGACTTCAGACTTTGTTCTAGAGATGTTTGATCTAGAGATGAAAATTTGCAAAAGCAAATGAAAAGCCTAATAAGGTATTTTCTTAAATGTTTAAGAATGTAATTTTCCTGTAAGATGCAATGTTCCACTGAATTGTTACATAACAATACTTAGCGGCAGTCATTTCTTGTTAGGTGTAATGAACGTAACATGAAGTCACATCAAAAGATGAAAACACACTACCATGAAATAAAACCGTTGTGACTCCTGTGATTCTTAGGAAATCATGTTTGGCAGAAACTTCATTTCTTCCAAGTTTTATTACAAAGTCAGAAGGAAAAATTAAAAATACCAAGTAAACCTACATCTCCACATGCCTGAATGTCCACTTCCACATCTCAGTGTCTTTTAAGAGCGTTAGGCCAAGTTCCAACAGGGATTCACTCTGCTAGAACACAATCCCCTCAAGAGCATTAGGCTTAGTGCCAGCATTCATTTACTCTTAAATTAATTCCTGTTACGTTCAATCTAAACCCTTTCTTACTATTTTAGATAGAATAAGCGTTGAGAGATGCATTCAGTCCTCCAGTCAGAGGGCCACCCATCATGGTTGTCTGTCTTTCAGGACTTCAAATACTGCGTAAACTGGATTGGGGAAGGCTACGACCAGCCAGTTGTGCATTGAGGGAGGGGTTGGCAAGTCATATATAATGAGTCTATTTCATGAGACATAGCATGGGGGTGGTCTGACTTACCCTATGCACATTTGATAGTAAGTTACAACCAAAAATAAGACTTTAGTAGGCTAGGTGCTGTGCTTACAATATTTGGGATACTTTCCTGGAGGAGCTGAACAAGCAAGCTAATTGAAAGACAGGAAATATCACTGCTTGCTTTTCTAGATCATGGATAGATAATAGATTAAATTGTGCCCAAAGTCAGAGAGAAGACTGAACCGGAAGGTCTCACAAAGCCAGGTCTTTAGCCCCTTCAGATAAGGAAGAGGCAAATAAGGATATAAGCACAAGGAAGACAAGTTCTGTTAAAGTGATAAAACAAAATAATCCTAGCGCACTTTGAGAACTACAAGGTGATTGTGTAAAACTAGACAGTCATTAAAGTTGGCCAGATACCTTGATCTTTGTCCAGAGTCTCAAAAGTCCTGTACCAAGGTTGTTTATGGTAGAGGCTGGGAGCTGACATTAGGGATTTCCAGAGCTGCTTTATATGCTAGAGAGACTGTTATTCATAGAATCATAGAATAGTTTGGGTTGGAAGGAACCTCTAAAGGTCATCTAATCCAACCCTTCCTGCAATGAGCAGGGACATTTTCAACTAGTCTAGTTTGCTCAGAGCCCTGTCTGACCTGACCTTGAATGTTTCCGTAATTTCTACCCATCCCTCCTCCACAAGAAAAAAACTCAATAGAGATCAGTTTCAAGGAAGCTGAAATACCTTCCTCTGATGAAAAAGCCTTATGTGCTGTTAGAAGAAGCCAATGTGCGATGAAGCCTATGTGCTGTTAGTTTATAGAAAGTCCAGTTATTTTATAGGCTTTGGAGAAGATGGAAATGGAACTAATTACCAGACAGTCAGCATTCATCCACTGGTAAGACTGAAAATGAAAGTGAACATTTTGTGCTAGATAACACTATTCAGCTCATAAATAAGAGTTCACAGCAATCTTTGCATTTAGGACCTAGGCCATAAATATAACTTATCTTCAAATATTTTCAACTTGCTACAGTTACTTGAAAGCTTATCATGATAGAGTCCATTTAAAAGAAAAAGAATTAAAATTTATCTAAGATATGTGTCCCCAAATACCTCTCATAGCATTAATTTATATTGACCTTTCTAACACAAAAACTGTCTTCCCATACTGTTCCTGTGCAGTTAGCTGAAAAACACCTTGCTGGCATATATAACAAGTTCTCTCAAACTTCAGAAGAATTACATTTTAAAGTCAAGTTGAAAAGTTAAGGGAAAAAAGTTGAAAGCAAAATTCTTATTTAAAAAAAAATAAATTTGAGAATTGAAGATACCAGTAATATAATTGGAAAGATTTTAAAATACAGTTTCTAAGTTGGCAGTGACCTTTTTGTGATAAATATTTGATTCATAAAATAAATGGTATGCAGACTGTTGAAATACTGTTTTTATGCCAACAAAGAAAATGCAGGTCAAAACTGATAATCTCTTAATGAAAGAACATGCATTTTTTTTTTTTATTTGAAAAGTATATTTGTTATGACTCTCCAAGTCAGTCTGTAGATCTCAATTCTGTGAAGAGTTACATATATTAAGCCTAATTTTAAGTATTTTGAAAAGTTCTGTGGTCTGAAGCAAGACTACCCTACTACATAAAATGAACTGTATACACAAATCTTTGAAGACTGAGAACTTACTGTTGTTCAACTGCTTGGTTTATCTTTTAATGATAAGATCCCATGGCACTTTTGCAACAATAATAGAGGTCCCATGGTCCCTTGAAAACATTTTAAGTAATGAAATTACATTATGTGCTTTAGTGGTTAATATTTTCCGCATGGTTCCAGCTGAATAAATTATACTTAATTTTTCTTCCTTTCCAAACATTCTTTTGTAGTGTTACTAGCACTGATTAAAAAGCTAGACCTGTATCTAAGTGAAATCCTATCATTTTGACTTTTTACCTATATCTTTATATATGTACATATATGTATACACATATATACACTTACATATTTATATATGTATTTTGCCTATAGTATATTAATGGTAGGATTTCCTGAAATTTTATTACTAGTGGTTCCCATGTAAATATAAAATTTTATATTGGGGACCTTACTGTATTTCAGGGAGCGTTTCTTCTCTTTTCTTTCATTCTCTGAAATTAGTGTGAGCATTGCCATCCATTTTAATTATACCAGTATTTCACCCTAAGTTTTATAGGAAGAGTTGGCAGCAATACCTATAGTTAAGGTTGCCTAATGCCTTCCACTGTGTAGATTCTGTACTTAAAAAGAGAGAGGGATAGAAACTGTACATAAGGTTACAATAAAACAAGTCAAGATTAGCAAAGTTAATTTTATCTGTGTTACTTGAAAAACCAGAAGGATTTATTAGGGACTCAGACTCTATATTTTTAAATGCAATGTAATAATTTTCAATAATTATTGTTATGCAGTTCAAAAAATACAATAAAGATGGCAAAGACATTACTTCACAGTATTACTAAAGACACAAATATACAATTATCAGTATTTTGTATTCATAAACCTGTGAAATGTTTTTAAAATACATGTTTTCTGGAAATTTTGAAGTAGAAGAAGCATCATGTACTTTCTTTCTTGTTTCTTTTCCCAGACCGCTGTCTAAAGCTACTATTAATAACGCTTTGTAGTACTACTGTGATTTATTAATGAAAGTTATCTTAAATTATAAAGTCTTTAATACCGCTGAAGATGGTGAAGTCTATATAATTATTTCTTTGAAAAAGAAAGGAATTCTAAACCTCTAAATTACTGTTTTCTGTAATGTATTCCATTATTTTAAGTAGTGCTTACTACTTTTGCTCAGAATACCATTTCTGATCTTCGATTGCACCTATTTTTGTGTAAGCCAGAGGAGATGTGATTATTTTCCAGATACATGTGTTCAGTTAGCACAAGTGTGTGGTAGACACATACCTTCACTATAAAAGGTTCTGCAATCCTTGCACTAAAAAGTTGAAAGTTCTAATACAAAGTTCATTGTGGTCAGCTGCATTTGGCTCTTATAGAGTTGAAAAATAGATATTTGTGTAAATGTTGTGGGCAGTCTTGGTATAATTGGTAGTGAGGAGTTCCTTAGTCTGTAGCTAGATCAAAAGGAGCTGTTGGAGCCACTCACAAAGGCATAGTAATAATGGCACTAATAAAAATCCTCAAAGAAACTGTGGACAAAGTTCCTCTTTGGGGAACGATCCCCTCTTGGCACCATTCAGGCAGGAGCTGTTGGCTCAGAGATGATTTCCAGTCCATTATAGGACCCTCCTCTAGGAAAGAGAAGGGTCTTGAGGGAACTTGAGGGAGATGGTACACTGCAATATCTGAATTGCATGTGTCCAAGCAGGCATAAGCTATACCAAGGAAGTCAAGATATGGAGACTGGCTCATGCTCACAAGGCTTAGGGGATCTCCTGTTCACATGGCATTCATGGCATTTATGGGTCTTCATGTTCACACAGTTTAGGAATGGCTTCTCTCTGTGTGGTCTGTAGTGGAGAGCCCAGCCAGGACACCTGTATGGTGCTGGTTCCGGTCCCTGAGCTCAGTCTCACTCTATGTAGCACAAACGATGTACCCATGCAGTACTGGTCAGCATCTACAGCAAATCAGTTGTAACTTAATTTCTGAGGAGACTAAACTATGTATAACAGAGGTTTGTGCAGAATGGCAAGGGTAGGTAAGACAAGGCTAAAAATAAATGTCTATATAGAGGTGTCTGCACCTGAATTAATTGTGTTACACTCTTGTTAGAGTCAATGGGGAGGAGTATGCACCTCTGCGTCATGATTCATCTCATCCTAAGGCAGATGTTTAAAGTGGCTCAGATGAATCTCAATCAAGGAAATACCCACTTCACTCTTCCTGGCTGTCAGGGGAACTGAGATGGTTTTAGTTCAGCAGTAAATATCTACATTGCAAGCTGTCTGTATTTACTGCTTACTGTTGCTGCAGAGATTCTTGAAGAGAAGCTCTTGCAGATATGGATATCAAACTTTGTGGGCACTTCTGCTGTCAGGGCTGGCAACAAAGGAGGTAGTCAGACATGGTTTGATTATGGGGTGCCTCCCTGATGAGAGTTGGAAGTGTAGATGTGTTACTTGAAGGTGCACCTGAGGGAAGAATGCCTTATTGCTGTTGCATGTGAGTTGTTGTGATACCCTGCCTAAGTACCAACTTGTTACTAGGCTTATGAACATCTGTTTTTGGAAACACTGGAATTTATGTCTCTTTTGTGTCTTGCCTTGTATGAAAAATATGCATATCCTCAGTCAGTTCAAACATCACTAGTGTCATCTGCTACAGAGAGAGCTCACACAAGCAGATGGTCCAGTGTTTCAGAGGCTACCTGCCTACTTGCCTGTGGTAGCTGAAGGCACTTAGGAGTGCTAGGCTCACTGTGCTAGGCTGCCCTAAGCTTGGCTGGGTGGGGCTCTATTAGTAGGGAGAGGACAACTGATGAAAAAAAGGTGTTTATTGTTCTCCACAGCAGCAAGAGAGACTGCCATTTTGACTCATAAGACCTGAGGTCATCCTGGACCCTCCCACTCCATAAGCCCTGAGAAGCTCCAGGAACCTGTGGCAGCAATGGAAGACTGAGGACCAGCAGAGCCTATAGACCACCTGCTGGAAATCAGGGGCCATCCATGGTGTGATCTGCCTAAAATCTAATATGACAGCTGGGCACCCAAAAGAGCCCACTTCTCTTACCAGACCTGGATGGACAAAGTAGAAGGCAAGTTTGAGGGATAAGTATTGCATTTTTTTGTATTGAATAAACTGTAGGTTAGCAGTGGCTTTTACAGAATAAGTAGGATCTAAATGACTTAATGCCTGTGCAATCTGTGTCTGTTCTCTTGTCCTCTTTTTAGTCTACTCTGCTCCTTAATCTCTTTTTATATAATCTCTATTTTATTATAAGTTATATTGTGTGTATTCAGCAACTAGGTTTACTTGCTAATCACCAGAAATTCAACCAGCACTGGTGGCTGCAGAGATACCAGACCCCCTGCAGGGAGAGAAACAGGAGACTGTTACTCTGAAGGATTAGGGTACCTAAGATCTTAAAGCAAGTTGGTGACAGAGCTAGAAATAATCCCTGAAGGCAAAAGCTATTTGTAACATATTTTCTGCAAATATTGCATTATTTGGAGGGTTTCCAGTTGACTATTGCAAAATTAAAATAAAATAAAATAAAATAAAATAAAATTTCTGCATTACTGAACTTTTGGGGTCCATGTTTGATTTTAAATCCAAGGATGTCTGTGTCTGTCTCATGCTACTACTCATCTACTGTCTTACATCCACCTTACACATGATTTTAAAATTTTCCTGGCTATAACTATACAGATTCTAATTTGTTGCAACTTAAATTCTGAAGAGACAGGACAGACTGTGGTCCAATAAAAGCAAGTGACAAGCAGATATAAGAAAGCAATGGCTAAAGCATGGTGAGAACCCCTGCCATTAACTTTATGCCTTAATTAGTGCACCTTATTCTAGTTCCTTGGTTTCTAGATGACACAAGTTAAAAATCCCTTATATTCCCTAAGACTCTGAGACAATCTCTAAGATTTTAATCTACTTGAAGTCACCAGCAAAACTATTCTGGACTCCAGTCCAGAACTTATCTTATGTACTTCAACCCACACCTGATAGCCTAAAACCCGCCTTATTCATCATCCTTGGTTTTCCCATAACCTTAGAAATAGCTTTGTCAGAACAAATAGTGAATGTCCTGCAGAAGTGGGTTTAGATTCCACAACGTTACTGTCTCCTTTCTTCAAAAACAATGTCATTCTCTCATGATCTGAATCTTGTTTTGACCCCAGACTAGCAAAACCCCAGATCATTACTTTGTAGCATTAAAAAAATTTACTTAGTTTTTTCAAATCTGTAAACTTGGTCATTAGCCAGCATAACACATATCTGGTTAATTTGCACGTCCACATATAATAAATACTATGGATATCATGCAGACAAGCCCAAGTTTCTAACACTTCTCAAACCTTAGATAGTCTTCAAAACTCAGAAGAAATGTTACTGGTGTCTGGATATTTAACAAAATTATTTTTAGGAAAGAGAAGATACTTGGGTAGGATAGATATATTCACATTTCCTGCATCTACTTCATGAAGTAATTCAGGAACTAGCATGAGTAAGCACTGAATCATTTCCAGGCATTTCAGATACCTTTGAAAACTCATGAATAATAGAGTCTAGCCCTTAGTTTAATTTCTTATATTAAATCTTGAAGTATGAAGATTATATTATTAATTTTGTGTTGGTTGCTAGATACAGTTGATTTTTTTATTTGTCTCAAGCTTTCTATTTCAATGGCATAAATAAAAAGTTGCTCCCCCACGATGTGCTGTAAGTAATTCCAGGACATCCATAAACAGAAGGGATGCAGCTTGGTTCAGGTGACTGAGTTCTGGGCCAAAGGACAAGAATGCCATTATTTGTGCTTTAAATTTCCATTGCTTTCTCTGAGTCCTTTAATGTGTCATCAAAGTTATCTGCCCTGCCTTCTCCTATGAATCCTGGAATTATAATATTGATACTGTACAATACACAACTTTATTGTCATATAGGTAACAGTATTATGTGTTTGGCTTATGAATACAAAATCAGGGTTTATGGTCTAGCACATCAGAAAAATGGTAAGATGTTTACTCACAAAAGGTATGTTGCCTGGTTTTTCTATACTTGATATTACCTTGGCAGTTATGAAAGTAGAAATTACTGCTATTGTTTTACAGAAAAACAGAGACTCTGCAAGAGAAAATTTAATGTAATTTGGAACACTTTGTAGTCTTCAGAATCAGCCACATTTTCCCCACTACCCAAATTATTTTAAATTGTAAGTAGTTTTGCAAAGCTGTTAGCATTATTGTCTCAGCTCACCCGTATTTTTTTGCAAGATATATTATCTATGATGAATCACAACATCTTTTATTAAAACAGTTATAAAAGCATTAAAGCTGTCAGGTATAATTTGCAGCTTTTTCTCCTTTGTATTCAGCACTCTTTCTGAAAAGAAGCTAATTTAATAACTAGGGAATCTAAGTTACAATCAAATTTATTATATTTACCAGACTTGAATTTCAAATGAGATACCATTAAAATGTACTTGAAGAGGAAAGAGCAGAAATGCCAGCGGGCATTGAAGAAGCAGCCTGAAAAATGTCTAATAATGTTGAGATCAAGAGTGTTATGAAGATGGGAGAAAGAGGAAAAGGAATTCTGTTTGTCTTTCTCTGTATCTTTTACATGTTGTGCAAGCTGAAATGAAGGGTACAATCTCAGCCTAAAGCTTCAGAGTCCGCTTTCTAGATTTTTCTGTGACTTACAGTGTGCCTTTATAACCTAGCACTGCAATTCTGCCTACAAATCTCTAAATTACTGCTAGAGAAGTAGATGCTGTTGTTTATGTGCATGTATGAGCACTTGCCACCGTATGCTGTGTACCAGACGTCATCCCATGAGTTCTGCATCCACACAATTTCTGCTGAATTCTAGGTAAGGTTTGTGCTTGGAAGGCTTCTGGGTCAAGGTTTTCATGTCAGAAAGAGCTCAATAAAAGGCCTGTTCAAAAACAAACAAAAAACCCCAACAAAACCCAGTCTTTTCCTGTTGCTGACTTCAGTCTCCTCTGAGTCTCAGTCTCCCAGCCCCCTTAACTAAGTCTGTGACATCGACCATATTTTATATACAGGTGTATATTAATGCGGCCTGTTGTTTTGTGATCACACAAGTTGCATTTTTACGGTGGCATTTTTTAATTCCAAAAGGTGCTGCCAGCTTTTGTGTACACAATTTAAGCTTAAGCAGAGGGGTTTTTTTTCCCCAAGGACTTCTACTGACTTTCATATCTTTAAAATCTGAAGTTGTGATTCTCTTTGATTTATGGTCTGTTGAAGAATGTTGGTTGTACTATAACTAGAAAAGGGGTTAAACAAGAATAGAAAACCAGTATCCTAGAGTATCTGGATACCATAAAATATTTCTTTCCTGAAGGTACTTTGCCACCTAGCAAACTCCGAGAGTAACGGTGACACAAATAGGAAAAAGAAAATCCAAAAGGCCTAGGAAATTTTGCTTGACTTTAAAAAGCTTAATTGAAAAAAGAGCTTGAGGTTTGAGCATTCCTACTGAGCTCTTTGCACAAAGGGGATTATTTCTGTATGGATGTGGCACATCATTGGCAGGGCAGTCTACTGTTCACCTGACTGCTTTAACTCTAACCCTTCACAGCTGAGAATGTTACACATCAGGAAGGGGAGGAGGAAGATGACTCCTTCTGGCATGTTAGGAGATGTATATGCTACAATGTAGAGCCCCTGCTGCCAAAGGTAGCTTTGACAAAGAGGTTGTGGCACGGAGGCCATAGCTGGTATGAGGGTACAGGGTCTCGCTCTAGAATGCCATATTCTTTTAGTCTCTTGTTTTATACACGTAGTTCTTAGAGGAATTTCATAGTTTGAGGATGACAAAGAAAATTTGATAAGAAAAATGGAAGAGGGTGGAAGGGTGGAAACAAGATGAAATGTGGTAATACGCAGTGCAAGCTCACTGGGTATTATTATTAAGGGCAAAATACTAGAATTTCTGCTCTAAATGCTTAGTGATTAAGAGCTGGAGGACTCCATACATGAATGAGTATTTCTTGCTCCAGTCATCAAACAGCCACACCAAAGCATGACTAAGATGAAAGGCAAGGCTGTGGTGGAATGTGGAGCTGATGAGATAGCTCTGTACTAGGAGCAGAACCAGAGATTAAATCAAAGATGACTGAATCGAGTTAACTGGACCTTCCTGAAAACGTAAAGAAGCAGAGAAGGGTAAGAACCTTTCAATAATTGTAAGAAATCAGAGGGAAGAAACAAAACCCAGAAGACAAGATGTGAAAACAGCTCACATGACATGGCAATCTTATACCTTGTGCGGTCAGCAAAAAGAGATTGGATGAATTTCTGCAGACTCAACAGTAATTGCCATGAGGCAGCAGTTAGTGCTGTTGAAATGCTGGAACTGATGGGAACCAACTAGGCTGTAGTGACTGGGAACAGATGTCCTCAGAAGAGCATGAGACAGCATTCTACGAGAGACATCCTTGCCTATTAGTCTAAACCTATGGTTTGTTTTGTGGATTGAGATGTGTATCTCTCATTAGACAGGAATTTTAGCTTTTCCCTTCTTTTGTGTCAATAGATACCCAGTCTGGTCCTCAGTGAAGTTGGAACAGTCTTTTTTTGCAAATGCAGCCTAATGGACATTAATTCTCAGCAGTTATATATGTTCTAAATACCAGCATTAGGACTAGTAGAGGTGCCTGCATTTGTGAATACATTTGAGCAGGAATGCAATGCCAAGAACAGTTCCTCTCCACCTCAGTGTTAATTCATATTTTGTCATGATCTAGGCGTAACTGACCTTGAGTTGAGCTGTTTACATTCCTCCTTGGAGTAAGGCTGGAAATTGGTTAAGCTCATGGAGTTCTATACCATCGAGCACTGGAGCCACTTGTGTGAAGCTTCCCACCAGGAGGTTTGTGGTTGCTGCCTAGTATTTACCCAGTGGGCAGATGTAGGATTTGAATTTGCAGCGTGCCAAGGGTGACTGAAGTCCTGAGGGTCAAAAGCACTCACATTCAGCCCGTCAGAAGGGTCCCTGAACGTGCAATAGCTCCGAGCACTGTGCCTCTCCTGCCCATCTAAAGCGAGGGGGGAGGAGGCAGGCTGCTCTGTGTTTAATAGGGAAAGGAGTAAGGACTGATCTCTGTGTTAAATGCTGTTCAAAAGATGAAAAAAAATGTCATTTTACAACCTTCTACTCAGAAGTAGCTTATCTAAAGACTACTCTTGAAAGGAATTGCTAGAAAGATCAGGCTGGAAGACCAGTTACAGGCAGAATTTAGGAGAAAGCTAATGTTCTTTGTCTCATGTGTGTACATTGCATACAGGCTTGCTGCTGTCTTCTTGCCTGCAGCAGCTTTTCTTCTCAAATTGCTTAAGAAGAATCATGTGAATAAAAAAGTACCACAAATAAAAAAGTATCATGCTTATCAGCCTTCCTGGCAGCTCATGTCTGTTCTCCATAACCTGGCGGGACTACCCCAGTGACTACCCAAATACTCTAAAGCAAAGATCATAGCTGTATATCCTCTGAAATAGGAAACCTTTAGTGATTTCTGTATATCCCATGAAATAAGAAGCCTTTAGT